TTTTTTGAAAAAAGAAACTAATAAAAAATACGAACAAAATGGTTTTTGATTTACATGTAAATAAATACTTACACTTTTTTGTTACGTTTAAAAAGTTATCAACGACATATTAATTATATTATTTTAATACTGTCACACTATCGCAGTCAATATTTATTTCACATTATTTTTTAAACACATTTTCATATTATCGATATTATTTTTATCGAATTAGGCTACATCACTATCTGAGTAGAGACCCGCATTCGAGCCAGTGATAAGCCATTCAAATATCACCTTTATTCTTACAACATTAAAGTTCAAACCAAGTACCACTTTTCGTCGCTAGATGGCATTGTTAAACGCCATCTAGCGACGAATGGCGGTACTTGGTAGTCCAAAATATACTTTTTTATTTTGATTTATAGTGCATTGGTTTTAAAGTTGCATATCGTATGATATTTTTTTTGCATTTCGTTTACGCCCATTTTTTTTTCTAACCAATCGTAATTTCCGATTTATAGTATGAGTAAATTATGAATGTATTAGTTTGGCGACACCGGTTCTGGCAGAAATATTGTTTCAAGCTACTTCCATTGTATTCTATATTCCGTGGACTCATAACATAAATAGTGAAAAGTGGGTGTTACTTCTATGTGCACCTCTGCCTACCCCTTCGGGGATAAAAGGCGTGATGTTATGTTATGTTATGTTAAAAAAAAAATACCCATATTCTTAACTTGGAATCTTCGTTCAAATAAATTAAAATAAAAACAACCAATTTTTAAATTTTTCTTTATCATCTCCTCAGGAAACCGACTTACTCCGTCGTGCTGAACTCATGCTGCAACAAGCCGCGAAGCTCAGATGTCGCGCGTTCGTGACTCCAGCAGACGTAGTCGGCGGAGTATACAAACTGAACTTGGCGTTTGTCGCCAACTTGTTCAACCAACATCCTGGACTACAGCGCTCTGCTGACACTGAGGAACTGCACCAACTTGACGAGACCAGGGAGGAGAAGAGTGAGTGGATTTTGTTAATGTTTCTAAATGTTATTATAGTTATTTGGTGGTTTAACGAAATGACGATAAGAAATAAAACTGCTTTATAACTTGAGGCATGGTTAACATAGTAACTGGAGAACTGTTCGATGTACAAACGTGTTGCGGGTTTCCAGCAAAGAACAATTCTATATGTAATTCACAATTGATTGTTTTGTATCTGGGTGTGAGGTCATCTGAGGAATACAGCTCAGTGTGGAGGCAAAATTAAATGAACCAAAAGTGATTTGTTTAATCCTGAATGTGTTACGTGTAATAATTACAACACAATGACAAATCTAGATTTTCAGTGCAATTTTTTGAAACAATAATTATGAAAAGTCTTAAAAATGTAGAAATAACGCTAGTACATATTTCGTAATCTACAGATTTTAACAGAAGATTTAATTTACATAAAAACACAGTTTAGTGTAAACTTAACTATCCGTAACGTAAAACCAAGAGTAATTTGCATGCGTCAGATATTTTGACAGTAAGAGTAATTAATTTATGAATACGTAATTATATTTTTAGTTTCATTAAAATTTTAATATTTCAAGCCTTGACTAAAGTATAGATATGTTTTTGGGTATTCTGATTTTCAGATACCTTAGTAAGCATGGACGTTAGAGTGGTGGCTGATATTTAGCAATAGGCTAGCCCCTATTAAGCCCCATAAAGATTTACAATTGAAGTAGCTTTTAAGTGTGGGAGAGCCATGCTTCAGCACGAATGGGCCGGCTCGACCGGAGTGATACCACGGCCATACAGAAAACCGATATGAAGCAACGCTTACGTTGTGTTTCGTCGTGTGAGTGAGGTTATTGGACCTTCCCCAATCTCCCCAATCCCTGAATCCCCAACGATCCTCAAACTCCGAATCCCCAAAAGGCCGGTAACGCACTTGTAACACCTCTGGTGTTCCAGGTGTCCATGGGCGACGCCGATTGCTTACCATCAGGTTTACCGGCTTATGCCATAAAAAAAAGCTTAGCTTACTGATCAATATTTATTTAGGAACTGAAGCCATTAAAAAAAGCTTCATATAAATTGCTTTGCATTTTGATTTCAAATGGTATGAAATAATTTCTTTTCGTAGTTTGTCTATAGAAACGTATATCACGTGGTAGAATATCTAGTATCAGTAATCCGATATTTAGTCCGTGGTCTCTGGTACTTAGATCTACGCATTTTCCATTGTGTCCCATAATTATACCGGCAGTCAGTCGGCATAGGTTTGCTAAACTATATAATAAATAACGTATTTGTGTTTGTCATAGCATACCGTAACTGGATGAACTCTATGGGTGTGGCGCCGCACGTGAACTGGTTGTACTCCGACCTGACTGACGGCCTGGTCATCTTCCAGCTCTACGACATCATCAAACCTGGCATTGTTAACTGGAAGAAGGTACCACATCTTTGTTTTATTAGAGCTTTTGGTTGGTCTATATCGATGACTGATGTCTTTATTAGAATGCTTGATTTTACAGTTCTTGAGCGTTTAGAAAGTTTTGCATTGCACAAAAAATTCATTTAATTCAGTGAGTTAAATATCTTTGTAACTATTGTAATAGAATGCGTGGTTAGACATAAAGTTAAATCCTTGTACTGTAATGTGGGCCTTTCAATTCAATTATAATAATTTACATAAATTATAGAGAGTTATTCATATAATATTAAATTTTGTCAATGATCTAGTATTACCCGTTCCCCCAACAAATCACCAACTATTACGTGGATAGTATTTTTATTAATTTACAAGGAACAGTTAGGAACATTTATTTTTACATTTCCAGGTGCACCGTCAGTTCTCGAAGCTGCGTAAGTTCATGGAGCGGCTGGAGAACTGCAACTACGCCGTGGAGCTCGGCAGGCAGCTCGGGTTCTCACTCGTCGGCATCGCGGGGGCTGATATTAACGAGGGCAATGCTACGCTTACACTCGGTAAATACCTACCACATATATCTTTTTCAAGGAAGCAAGATAATATTTTTTATGAATGTAAATAAAAACCATAACATTTTATCGATAGAATAACACTTTTTTGAAGGAATCTTTGATCTTGGGTCTTGCAATCTTTGCTCAAAATGTACTCTAGTTATACAACGGATACAGTTTATTTCCAACCTGCTGATTTGAAAATAATCGATGGATGAAAAAATTAATAAATATGTTTTACGTGCATAATTTTACGTGGCTAACTTAATGTAATGTTATTGACCAGTGACAATTAACTTACTACACTAAATATTCATAATGAATATCGCCAACCATACTTGACTAAATACCAACCAAAATGAAACATTAGCATAAAAAAGTACCTTTACTATACCTATCTAACTTTATATCTAATTTTCTTGCAGCCCTGATCTGGCAGTTGATGCGAGCGTACACGCTGTCGGTACTGACCCGGCTGGCCAACACCGGGAACCCCATCATTGAGAAGGAGATCGTGCAGTGGGTCAACAACAAACTCAATGGCGCTGGCAAAACTTCTTCTATTAGGAGCTTCCAAGTATGTATACCACTTAGTCACGGAGAACCTAACGGGTAACCGGGGCCCCGGCTCGACGTGCAGGAGAAGGAACGGGGTGGTTTTTAGTCAGTTAGAGTCTGACACTCCCTTCCGCCTCACCCAGGCGGGAGCAGTCATTCGATGATTTTCCCCCCTTAAAAAAAAAAAAGTATGTATACCACTTATATTTTTATTTTCATTTATATGTTGAAGACTTGGAACTATCTTGTACTTAATTTCCTTGTGTTATATGAATATCGAAAATAATTGTCATCTTTAGTTTCGGATGTTTTTTTAATTTTACTAATTAAAATTATCATGCAAGCAATTATAATATACGAACTCTAAATTGAATGACCTACAAATACGTTGCAAAATTTTTTTATTATCTCTATGTGATAAAAACTAAGAAACACTAATTAATTGTTTCGTGTTTTACCTTCCAGGATGAGGTGTTAGCTGACGGTAAGGTGGTGATTGACCTGATCGACGCCATCAAGCCAGGCTCCATCAACTACGACCTCGTGCTGCCCGGAGGCAATGAGGAGGTAATACACATTTTACTTTTGATTAGTTAATCTCGCTCTATTTCATCTGCTGCTCGACGCCATTTGTTTGTAGCCTTTTACAGCTAGATCCAACACAAATAGTATTATATAATTTGAAGTAGTGACTGCCTCGTTGGTCGAGTGGTCGCAAGTGCGACTGCCGGGCAATATGTTCACCCCCTATTGCATGGGACTCATAATATAAATACTGTAAAGTAGGTGTTACATTGTACAGTGGCATCAAGTGCTGTAATGTGCACCTATGCCTACTCCTTCGGGAATAAAAGGCGTGTTGTTATGTATGAAGTAGTTCCGAAGATAGACAATAACAAATTCTACAATCTGCTTTCCTTGTTCATAGGAGAACCTAGCCAACGCGAAATACGCGATTTCAATGGCGCGTCGTTGTGGAGCGCGCGTGTACGCGCTACCGGAGGACATCACGGAGAGGAAACCCAAGATGATCATGACAGTGTTCGCGTGTCTTATGGCGCTCGACTATATTCCTGCCATGGACGCGCCCGTCGCCAACGCGTAAGGATACACGCAAGTACTGTACACAGTCAGACATTGGATTTAAACCTATATTTTTAACTATGAAATTGATTATTTTGATGTCGAAAAACGGCAATTTCATAGGAAAAATGTCCAATCTAATCTACCATACTAAAGTTTGGAATTTCCTTAAAATATTGTCTAGACTTCGACTATGATTTTTTTTATGAAATACACTTAAACTGAAAAGCAGATTTTCCTAAGTGGAATGTTGGAACCATTGTCTTACCTTCTCTTCTTAAATAAAGATTTAGTTTAATAATCTCGAGTCTTGAAATTAAACTCAGTGTATCCAATGTCTGACTGTACACAGTTATTAAATAGTTTGTGATGTAAGCTTGGTACTGTGTCGTCTGGTCACATCGACATGCCAATGTCGATTCTACCAGGTCTATTGAGGGTTCATATTTGTCTGTGTCATATTCGTGTCAGGTTTATGGGCGTCATGGTTACAGAGAATAGGGCCTATTGTCCACGACGAATACCTACATGCAATCTACAAATGACGATAGACGCATTTGTATGGCGAGTAACGTTTGTCGTAAAGTTTTGATTAATTATTACGTTTTTTGGGAATTATTTACGGAGGTGTTTGACAAGGTACGATGAGGCCGCGTTGCGCAATGCTGTTCATGAATATGAGCCCCTAGCGTGGCTGGAAACTAATTGAGTTCCTCGTCAAACATTGAATGGAGTAAGCCGGTAAATATTATAGTTAATTTAGTATGTCTCACGAAAATTATAATACTAGATTTTTGATCTTTTCTACGCAAGATGTAATGCGTTCGTCTTGTAATGTTGAATATGTGTGGTTTACGTGGACATTAGGCCTAACGGTTATAGGAACCTCCGAATTGAAAAGTTCCAAAGTTTCGGCACAGTGCTTGTTGTAAAGTCACTCCGCGTCAAACCAAGACGCTTTTTCATACAAGTCTTATATAAGTATATCTCAATAAGGAACATTTGTGACTAATAAGTATAAGAGGCCCGCTAAGAATTGGCGGTTTTTAACACTGTCTAAGTACGTGTAATTTTTAATGTTATCTGCCCACCAACTGGTACAATTGTTTTTTTTTTGTAATAAGTCTGGGATAACCACTTTTGTGGTGTATGGATATTAACTTTTTGTCCTGACAATATTGATCCATGTTTCATTGAAGAATAATCGCTATACCAAAGCGAACAGCATTTATTCAATCGACTGATTTTTAACACAACATTCCAAATTATACAACATTTTGATTTAATAACACGGTCGAGTTTGTGTAACTGGTTAGGTGGGAGCGCGCATCATTGTGGGCACTAAATATAAATCTATATCATGCAGGCAGTCAACATATTATACTATAATAGTTTATTTACATATATACACGCAAAGCTTGTTTTCCTCAATATACAGGGAGACGTAACTATATTACATTTAGCAATAAAAACATATTTAGTGTCCACATGAACGTTTCAAACAAAATAAATAATAATATGTGTATGTGACCTAAGCATTATGTTAAGTATAACTTATTAAGTATAAAAAGACTAGTGTCTGCTATCGAAATCAATTACGTAATATTTAATGACGTATTATTACTGAAACCACGATCATTTAAACGGCTTAAATGGTACTTATGAATGATTAGTATTATCTACACGATATGTCGATGTTTTTATACATTTTTACAACGAATCGTATTGAGTTTTAGTAGTATGGACTTACGGTTGCAATGTACTTGAGGTGACGTCGGGTACTTAATTCAACCGACAATACGTTTTAGAAGAATAAGCATCGAATGATTTATTTGTCAGGCTTCCAAAATTATGTTGACGTTCTTATAAGAATGTATTATTTTATATTGTACCTAAACTCTGTGTTGGTTTGTTTGTCCACCGTTGAGTTCGTAATGAATAAGACAATTTGGTCGCTTATTATGTGTGGGAATTGGCAATAACTGTGTATGTGGAATTGTTTATGTGATAATGTTAATACGAAAGGCCATTACAGAAATATATTCATAATAATATGTAGCTTTACATGTTACATTCCTCAAATGTCCTGCATTCCCCTTCATCGGCATTTTAACACTAATTTCGTTCTCAATTTATTAGTTTTTAGTAAATGTATATTTTTTCTTATGTTATTTAAGTTATATACTGTGAAATATTTTTGTAGCGTTTTATTAGAGTAGACATTCCCGAGGGATACAACGATATTTTACAAACATAATATTTTTTATTGTAAATTTTTATTTTGTTAGACGTTTTAAGGCTTTATTCAAGATTTTATTGATTACGTAATTTTTAGATTTTTATTTTGAAATCAAATAGAAGTTTTTTAATTTGTAACATGTAACGGAATCGAAGTATCTAATAAATTAATAACTATAATTACTACACTGTATTTAGTGATTGCTAGCTATCAGTAATGTTAATATACAACCATGTGTAAGCCTAAAAATAAAACGGAATTGGTAAAACATTTGAGATTTTTAATTTCCCACTGTCCCCTTCCCTTCATCACATGCTTCATCAAGGGTGCTTGTCCTCGTTTTATGTGGCAAACAAAGGTTGGCAGCACAGCATCTATGCAATTAGCAGCGGAAGGCAAGTTTAATTAATTATCCCTTTATAAATACCTGAGACCTGGCTGTTAGGACGCACTGGGCGCTTATATATGGTGTGGAAACTATTAATATGGGCATACTAATGAATGATGTTGGAATTATACCTGATACAAATGTGTGTATGACACTGAAATCGATGGCACTTATAAAGTTGGAAATAAGTGAAAAGTTGGTGATTTATTTATTTGCCATCAGGTTAACACATAAAGTAACAAAAAAGAATAACAAATGTTTTCAATAACTTATTGTCTCAATTATTATTTCCACACTGTATACGCATATTGCTTTGTCTATGTATGAATTTGGGTGATTTGTTTTAAGGCAAAATAAGAATATTAGTAACACAATTTACAGGGAGCCTTCTCAATTTGCCCGTTCAGGCAATGGTTTCAACCACGAAGCTACGGATGAAGGGTATGTTTAAAATATGTACTCATTATGTCAGTATCAGCATATAGCACTTAGTATAAAAAAAATCGACTGTCTCGTTGGCCAAGTGGTCGCAAGTGCGACTGCCGGGCAAGGGGTCTCAGGTTCGATTCCCGGGTCGAGCAAAGTATTACTGGGTTTTTTTAAGAAATTATCAGTAGTAGCTTGGAGTTTGGAAATGTGCCCGGTATATGGCATTTGCCTTAATTGTCGATTAACCCATTCTTTTGCAATTGCTTTCGGAACAGAATCGTTACTAACCGTCTGCAGCTGACGTGTAGTCCCACAGACACCGCGAAATACAAAATCACGTGTTATACCGTCATTTTTCAAATACGAGCATCACTGCTGCGAGTACCTTACTGTATAGTGCTCGCTATACTTTAATTCTACAAAAATATTTGCTGTTGAAATGGTGTCTGGTATAATATACACCTCAGTTGAATTGTAACAATTTAACCACGTCAGTTGTAGAGGGCTAAGGAATAGTTTAAGACTTAAGTAATCATTAGCGGTCTTATTAATAAAAATGTCCTATTCCAAATATATCTGAGTGCGGTAGAAATGGTTGTCGACTGATGATATTACTACAGCCTCTGCCTCTCTGGATGAGTGGTCAAAAGTGCGACGGGCAAGGGGTCTCGGGTTCGGTTCCCGGGTCGGGCAAAGTATCACTGGGTTTTTAAAAAAATCTTAGTAGTAGCACGGAGTCTGGAATTGTGCCCGGTATATGGTAATAGGCTCACTCTTGCTCACATAGGACTAATAACATAAATAGTAAAAAGTGGGTGTTACTTCTGTGTGCACCTCTGCCTACCCCTTCGGGGATAAAAGGCGTGATGTTATGTTACGTGATATTACTATAGCTACGAAAAAGAATTCACAACCAAATTAAAAAAAAATCGAGATCATATCATTCCGCTACTCTTTAATTTATAGAACAAAAATGTCAGGATGTCACTTTTAGATCACCATCAACATTCCTCAGGTACGGCGTTGAGGAACAAGACTACAATCCTGAAGACGCCGCGGAGGTAGAAATAGTCGAGTCCGCAGAAGTATCCGAGGATCCAGCACCAGCGTCTGATGAAGCTGAGGGACCTAGCCAACTGTCTGAGAAGCCGGTGCCTCCACCTAAACCTGAAAACCTGACTGCTGTGCCCAGAAGTGCCTCAGTTGTTGATGAACAATAAAATGTAAGAGTAAGCACGTTAACGTAGCTTAAAGAACAAAACTTCTTGATTAGATTTGCAACTTTATTTGTAAGTAGATAAGGTTAAATTCCTAATTAAGATATTTGTGTGGTACGTTAAGCTATCCTTTAGCTCGTTAGATTGCAACCTAATTTGTAAGAAGATGCAATTGAATTTCTATTAAAGAAATGTATGTATTGAGGTTTTTAACTAGAACAACTTTACTTAAAGTTGTCGGTGTTTTTATAGAAAGCTAGAAAATAAGTTATATTTAAGTATAATGTCAGCAGCCTTCAGTCAGGAGTTTGCGTCCTTCAACTACATGTTTTTGTTCAATATACAAACTGTCTACTACTTTAGCTGACGCCTTCATTATGTTAACAGTATTTATGTATTTTATTCAACATGGTGTTGTCTTGAAAGGATGTTTGTAATGATACAGTTATCAAGATTGTGTTTCTCGAGTCAAGTTTATTTGCTATCCTATTTATTATAGACAGAATTAATATTTAAGATTACTTGCTAAGACCACGTGGTTAATTTATACTATTTTCTTATTATATTTTTATATTGGTTTGTAATTTGTTTTATTATTAAAAGTTTTTAATATAATGTGGTTGTCTACTTACTTTTTTTTTCTGTACACTCAGTATGCATCATATCTCAGCCACAAGGCACACCCTCTACTGAATATAAACTGAATATGATGTGTAGTTAAATAATGAATATCATGAGCTCTGCCAGAATTATTTACAAGGATGTGCATCAGCATTTACGAAATATAAAGGAAAAAAAATATTGGGACATTTCTGAAAGTGCAGGCCAACGAAAAAAGTGGTACGTATCGTTAGTTAGCCATTTGGAGCAAATCTTAATATGGCGTAAAAGTTGTAGGATCCCAGATGAAGAAGTCATACCAGTTCAAGTTCATCTTTTTCAAACATTTATTTCTTTCTAAATGTGCTAGGAAACGTAAAATAATGATCGATATTGCTAGAATAAATACCTATCTTAGGCAATTATGATTATAATGCGAAAAGTTTTCGTTGTAGTTTTCTTTTTTTGTAGGAATATCAAAGTCAAAATCATTTATTTCAATTAGACCAGAATCGCACTTTTGAACGTCAACAAAAAATTAAAAGTGAAGCTATTTACACATTGCAAGGTGTAGATTCCTATGGAGCAAAAAACTCCATAGGTTTTCTTTTTCAATCAGGTTCATAATACGGGCCGGCTCAACCAAGGTGAGAACGGCTTCACAGAAAACCGACGTGAAGCAACGCTTGCGTTGTGTTTCGTCGTGTAAGTAAGGTTACTGGAGGCTCGATTACCCCTCTCCCAATCTTCGAATCCCCAGCCATCCTCATATTCGTAATCCCCAAAAGGCCGTGGTATCACTTCGGTCGAGCCGGCCCTTTCATGTCGGCACTTTTAGAAAAGGCCCTAGAATGTATGGAGCCGATATGATCTCCTAAAACAAGTCTTAAGAGCATATATCCCTTTCAAGATACCTATTGTAATTTGAACTCCAAGTTTAGCCCTGCATAAATTATACATATTCCAAGTTTCGATGTGATCGGAGGTTTTATAAATGGGCCCACTTCCAAAGGTTCACACCCACTCTGTTCATCAATTAAAAAATATACCTAACATACCTAAACAGTGTCGACACCTAGGGGGTTCGAAAATTTGGTCCATTTTTATCTCAGATTTTTAGTATTTGAGATATTTTCGCTTTTAATATACTTACAAACTTTAAAATACTTTCACTGCCCTGTGGATTTTTACAGAGGCACTTAAGGCACGTTCATTGATTTCTCGTGTAGTTCAACGCAGTCCTAAGCATTTTACTATCTGCATTCTGATAGCTTCAATCTTAGGTTCAGAGGTTTTACAAGTCACCCATTTGCAAAAGTCAAGGTCAAAGTCACTTCGACTCCGACCATCAATTAGAAAAATTGTCTTTATAAGGGGAGTGGACGCCTGTGGGAGTTCGAAATTGGATCGTTTTTGGCTCAGACCTCTAGTTTTCGAGATATTTATGAAAAAAATGCATTTTTATAACGGGGTGAATTGCAAGCGCCTCCCTAATTATAATATGGTAATTTCGCACTATTAAAAATTAAAAGCTCTTGCGAAATGTCAAAAACTATAATAAAAGTGTTCTAGGGATTAGGGATTTTGTTGGAAATCCTGAGTTATGATGAGCCTTATAGTATAAGGAGTAGCAAATATAAATAAAACAAAATCTTTGAATAAAATTGTGATGATTTAATTCAATCCATAGCCGGCAACGAAAATTAATACTTTTACATAATTCAACATACATACACGGAGTAATCACCAAAACAACTGGTAGAAAAATACAACTCCGGTTGATTTGAACTGTCATACAATATATTGGTGTCTTCTGTAAGGCATTGCATATCTATAAACATATATTATTATATACTTACATATAACTGAAACCATTCCCTATCCAACATACAAATCAATATTCAACAATTTTGGTTATATCACTATATAACATAGCAAATTTTGAATAAAACTATTTACAATGTACATTGAAATAATGTTTTGTTCACTATACTGGGACATTAACTAAATTCTAAAGTTGTTTTGGCTAGTCAGGAAACCAGGATCAATTTAGGATCTAAACTATGATATAATATTAAAGCTACATTAATTTAAAGGTGGGAATCGATCAATATTATAAAGAATTTATTAGGAGATTTGAGCTTAGTTATATTTTATTGCCAGATACTTGTGGTTTCCTGACTTCACCAGAGTGATAACGCGAGTTCGTTAAACGTTAACGCGATAGCCATGTTCATGATATTCGGCGCTCTGGTTGGCCAGCTCAAAGTCAACGAGCCAACCAGAGGCCTTAGTACGAGTTTGTTTTACGTTTAAAGTAATCGTAACGAGTACGCGTTCGGCGCTGTGATTGGTTGGTTCATTGGCGCCGGCCAATCAGAGTGCCGAACGCGTACTCGTTTCGAATACTTTAAACGTAAATCAAACTCATACTAAGGCCTCAGAGCGCCAAACGCGCTAACGTTAACGTTAAAAAAAATTCGCATTTAGCACTCAGATTCACAATGTAATTAATTTGGAATGTTCTCATTAAAATACGAAGGTATTACAAGATATGCGACCAACACTTAGAAATTGGTTTGTAACAATAAACACGTACTATTACGACTCTAGCCGACACTATTCCCAAGCTTTGTAGACAAATACTATTTTATTAATTCATATTTATTATTGCTTAACATTGTATCCTTGTAAAAATTTGAATTTTAATACAAAAACCATCTTCACGCGTTGGTGGCGCTTTTCAAAATTAAAATCAATTTACAGTTCATTATAGAAAAGTTAGAAAACAACTAAATGAACTACCGAACATTTTGACGAACAATTCAAAAATAATTTAATTCATCAATAAATAACGTCATTTTCATAAAAATAAAACTAATAAAGTATGAATTGATTAGTTTAATTGTTGTAATGTAAAATAAATAGGTAATGATTCATAAATCAAAGTAGTCTTTAGCGAATATTTGACTAAATTCAATATAAAAAAATAATGAATATATTTAGAACCAATGCCGCAACGTATATTTAACATTGTGATGGCTACCCCCCCTCCCCCATTTAACTACGAATTTGTACAAACGCAATCAAGCATTTCCTCCACCTAACAGATTCGAGATTTTTAAACCATTCAGCCTTTAAGTCAAATACATCGAGTTTGCCAAACGTTGATAGACTTTTAACTAACTGGCCCTTATTACAAAGGCATAAACAACACAATAGCTTGGCAAACACGATGGTGTTTAACTGTCGTGTATAAGAACTGAGTTTTGTGAGCAATTAACTAAGCATGCCGTACGGCGCGGCGTACTTAACGCAAGAATAAATCATCAAATATCTCAGGGCCCAGCCCGTTTGTTTGTTCATGTAGAATCACTAATTAAACTAAGTATTTCGCACACATTTCTAGATACGACACATTTTTTAGTTTTTAATAATTATACAAACAGGATTTATGAACAATAATGTGTTATAGTATGATCTAAAAATCGAAAAGACTATTTCTTAAGAATCAATTTAATAATAATACTAATATGAATTTGTTTTTCTATAGTTTTATTTCCAGGTACCTAGATATGTCTAGAATTTTAAAAAATATCTAGAATTGTGTGCGACCACCTCAGTGTACACTTAAATAATAATAATAAAGAAATATCACTGTAATAAGTATACTTAACCACGGCGCTGCGCAGGAGTTGATCAATGTTACAACAATATTTTTACATTCTACGTTAATAGAGAGCCTACTAACATTGAGTATAACTATTTGCTTAATAATGAATTACTTTATAAGGAGGGTAAGCAGAAATTACACATATTTAATGGAACATACACTTTTCACTAGTTTTGTTGGAAGTCCCATATACAGGATGTGCTTATTACTACACTTCGGGACGTATCTGAAAATTTCTTACCCACAAAATTAATAGTATGATGCATGAAAATATTACATTTTCATTCCATTACTCAGCATTAAAAATGTATTATCCATCAACTCCCGTCGCCACGCAACAAGTATTAACTGCTAACTGCTTAGTTAATCTAACAGTTTATATTATAATCTCATAAAAATAATCTTACAGTCAAACTGACTATAAATGAGTATGTTTTAATACTAACTAATTAAAACATATTGAATTCATTTATAATAACGATTTATTTGAGTGCAATTATTGAGAGACGCTCTACTAGTTTCGAGTCACAACGGGTCTCTCATTCTTGAGCAGCGTGCGGAGATGCGGCGACGTTCTTAGTAATTGCACGGGAGGATCCCTTTTTCTTCAATTAATTCAATATGTTTGAACTTGTTATTTATTTGTTATTGTTAGTTTAACTGAGCAGTAGTTACCTCGGTAGGCGTACATAGTATAACGCGGTCTCCCTGGACAAAATTGCAATATCACCTAAATTTCCACTAGCGTTGCTGATTCGCACAAAATCAACCACATAACGACTTGCATTCATACCTGCGTTGGACAAAAAGAAAAGAAAAAAATTAAACAAAAAAATAAATAAAATAAAAAATGGATAATTATTATTAATATTGAGTATTGCAATTACGTCCGCTCTATATAATATAAAAAGTACAAAATAATATATACTCTATGTATTTTATTGCTTGCAACACAATTATTTGTTTTTTTATAATATTTATAAAATATTACACATATTCGTATCTGTTATACATAATATTATATTGATATGATTTTAGCATCCTTTAGACTGGTGCAGATATTTTTAGAAATTAAACATTTATTTTTTTTCAACAAATTGAAGATCTAGTATAAGATAAGTGTGGGAGAGCCTTGCTTCGGCACGAATGGGCCGGCTCGACCGGAGTGATACCACGGCCTCACAGAAAACCGACGTGAAGCAACGCTTGCGTTGTGTTTCGTCGTGTGAGTGAGGTTACCGGAGGCCCAATTACCTTCCCCTTCCCCAATCTCCCCAATCCCTGAATCCCCAACGATCCTCAAACTCCTAATCCCCAAAAAGCCGGTGACGCACTTGTAACGCCTCTGGTGTTCTAGGTGTCCATGGGCGACGCCGATTGCTTACTATCAGGTGATCCGTCTGCTCGTTTACCGGCTTATATATTCCATAAAAAAAAAAAAAAAATCTAGAAAGAAAAACTTTGGTTGCACTTTTTGTTGAAAATAAAACGTTAAAATTATTTATTCTGCGCATCTTATATTTTTTTTCTCACGACAGTACCTTCTAACAATAACAAATCCAAAAAAGAATTAACGTAATCGGTTCATCCGTTCTCGAGATTTGCTCTTAGCAATGCATTAAGCGAATCATTTTTATATTACAGATATAGAGATGTGACCGATAAATCCCCTTATTGACGTTCGCGACAGTTTTAAATTCCTCATTTGTGCTAAATAATTTTCAACACTGCCCGTCTAAAAAATGCTCTCGTCTATACATAAATACACGATATAGTACATAACAAAGCTTGTATATAATAATTAATATTGTGATGACTACAGTACATTAGTTTGTTTTAAAATAATAGAAAAACTCTCTATTGAATCATTTATCTACGTCTTTTCTTTATATATTTATTTACATTGGTTTCTAGAAATAAGAAAATAAAATAGGCGATAATATTTGCGACTTAAAGATATTTAAATAAATAAAATAACGTGTCCTAGAAATAGTGACGCTTATTTGTAAATCATTGTCAATGTTTAAAATAAATCATGACTTTAGTGATGTTTATTTGTGTTATCGATCATTTAGAGTTGGGTTATAAATTATTGATATTAGTTTGCATTGTTTTTTACAGTTTTAATCACATAACAGCAGTTTTTTTAAAGTAAAATGAACAAAACGGTGTTTCCGTAATTTTTGTTCTTTTCTTATTTCCAAAAACCAGTGGTGATCTAATATTTCGTCTATATATTATATAATATAATATAATCAATTAGAATTATTACCTAAATAATGCTCAACGTTTATTCTATTCTGGACCGGCACATACGTAACCTTTGTTTCATCACTTTCCCTCACACTGGGTTCCAGGTTCGATAAATTTTATACGATTCTTTGGTAAATAATACTGATGTTTGGGGGCAAGATCTTTTTTAAATATTGCTATTAAGGACTGCAAAGTTTAATTGATTGTTAAATTAAATAAACTGGTAAGAATACTACAATAATAATTCACTTTAAGAACTGGCAATATCCATAACTGTCAGATAATACACAAAAATAACATTGTATATTCTAGTTGCTATTCAAAACTTAATAAACTGAAAATGTATAACCCCCTTCCCCCTAAATCCCCTTCTCCCAAGTGTGGTTAGTATAGCAGTGTTGTATAACATAAGTCGTGCCCTAGCCTGGCGCCGCCCGCCGCGCTGGTGCCGCGCCATTACCTGTCGGTGTGCTTGTCCAGCAAGTACTCCTTGAGGCGCCGCACGAGGTGCTCCGACAGCTGCGTCACTTCCGGCCACTGCTTCAGCACCATCACGCCGAGCATCACTGCTAGACTTGTTGTAAGGACGCGAACTCTGGAAATGTAGTTTTAGGAGTTAATATTGTGAAATTATAGTAAAAATGTAGTGCGTGGTTGTTAAAAAGAAAATTCAGGGAGATAGTGAAAACAGATTTCAACTTCAATGCACACAAAATGAAGAATAACGATATTTTTAACATAGTTAATGCCTTATGGCAATTAGATAAATGATTATAACTATAGTTCAACGTTAAACATACACAAACACATTTAACTCGTCGAGCACCGTCATTATAGACACAATTATAGAACAATAGGCTGCGGTCACCGGTGACCGCTTGGTGTTTGACAGTTTAAAGCGATTTTTCTTCGTATTCATACCTTGATAAAATGTTTATAGAGACATTCGGCGAGAATGTATAAGTAAGTCAGTTAAGAGAATTTCGTATCCCGAACGTACGGCGCATCGCGTTCCGCGCGCGCCTAATAGAGCCATCAGACCACCACAGATGGGGCCCAATAGGGCTGATGCCGATACGGAGCCGTGGAGGATTTAAGGGGTTACCGGGGCTCCAGCTCGAAGTGCAGGATTAAGAACGAGGTGGTTTTTAGTCAGTAAGAGTCTGACACTCCCTCGCGCCTCACTCGGGCGAAAAAAGTTCTTAATTGATTTTATCGCCTCAAAAAAAAAAGAGTTTCGTATTTTGCACATGAGGTGCTAATGGTTAGGAACTGACTCAACATATCCCTACATCCTTTAATTTAAAGTCTATGTTTACCTAGTCCTTAAAAACGGCATAGCGACTCCGGCAATGGTAGCAACGAGTAACAAGGCGAGCTGTAGTAGAGTGAGTGCGACATTCAACAGTTTGACGAGTAACAGACGCGGGGGCAGAGCCCCGCCGGCCGCGTCCCCGGCGCCGCCAGCCCCGCCCGCACCGCCCCC